TTATATATCCTCCTTTAAAACACACACACACAGACGCGCATCCATGCACGATTTTATTATGCAATTTAGAGACTTTTTAATATGCGGGTTTTTTATCTATCCTTTTCTTTTCTTTTGTAAATGAAAAAAGATAATAATGAAAGAAAAAGAGAGAGAAATAAATTCGTTGGAAAGTTTAATGTACTTTCGTGGCTAAAAGAATAATATATAAAATAAAGGTAAAAACAAAAAAGTAAATAAAATAAATAAAATATACCAGCGAACGTGAAGAAATACGAGTGTATGATTAAGTGTACGTGTGCGTGTACGATTAAGAAGAATTCCATATATGACTTTCCAAAATTTAATGTATAAAATGATATATTGTATCGAAGGAAAGATGAAAGGAAGGAAAGGAAGGAAGGAAGGAACATACTCGTAAAAACGATTCGTTAAACGAGAAAAGAGTGAAATGGCGGAAGCTCAATCTAGTTCGATAAAGCGATAAAACTTTCGAAGCTATTAATATATCGGAGTAAAACCGAGCATATGCGTACGCGTTCGTTGAAACTTTGCTACTTACAACCGGAAAAAGGTACTCCTCCTTGTATATCCCCGTAGGCGTGCGCGTGCGCCTGTACGCGGGTGTGTGTGTGTGCGCCAGTTTCTAAAATTTCCTAATAAACCATATATTTCCAAAATAAATCATATTACGTCTGAACCTAATGATTTTTCGAAAGGATTGTACGAATTTATACCTAAATCAAAAGAAAAGCGTGAATAATATATCGATATATTATAAAAATAAAAATGTTTAAGCGTTTACGTGCACATGTAAATTCTTTGAAAACTATGTACGCGTTTGACACGCGTTGACAAAAGTAAAAATTAAAGTGTATCTTTTATTTGTTAAATATTTTGTTTGTTGTTCATTTAAAAATAGATGATTCATTTGACGAGAAATCGAGAAGAATAGAAATGTTCGTATTTCGGTTCTTTCCACAAGTGCGAATGTGTTTTTTGTGTTATAAACAGGAAAAATGTTAATTTTTCGTATCCGATTTGATTGCGTTTATTCGTAAAACATTCGTGGCAGGGAAGAACAAAGGATTTGTTGCTATTTGCGGAACCGCAAGTTACTTTAAAACATGATTAAGTATACGCGTACTATATATTTTAATTTATGTTGGTATTGGTTGAGATATAAATATTTGTTGTTTACTCGTTCCTCAAATGTTAGACTCTAAATTTACAAATTACGAAATTATTTCGCAAAATTGAACAATGTAATATCCAAGGAAAAAAAAACATCCAATTAAATCGAGAATTAAAAGAAAAGGATCACAATAAAACGCACGCACACAAAATTTCATCATAGTAAAACAGGATATACGACGAAAAACGAGATGTCCGATAAATACACGAATACACCAATATAATATACTAAATTGAAATAAAATAAATAAAATATAATATATATAAAAATACGAAAAAGAAAGAATGGGAAAATAAAATAAAGTAAAACATATGTGTGATTTAAATATGGTCAACGATGTGGACGGATCCGAAAAAATTTGGCGTCTGAATGAATGAACTAGAAAAAGAGATGGAGAGAGGGAATCCTGCTCTCTCTCGTGCACACACACAACTCACGCAAACATATTGAACGGATAGTAAGAGAAAGAGATAAAGAGAGGGAAAAGTATCGTGAGGATCTGTTGCGCGAGCGCGCAAGCGGTCATTCATGAATTGGCTCGACCCGTTTCTTCTTCTTCTTTCTCTCTCTCTCTCTCTCTCTCTCTCTCTCTCTCTCTCTCACTCATTGTCAGTTTATTTATACCAAATTCCTCTTCGATTCTTTTTAACTTTTCATTACAAATTTTTCTAATTCAACAAAATTTTGTCTTCTTTTTCTGTTTTGTTTTGATATTGTTTAAATTAATTCTTTATTACGCGTGCCGAGAGATATATATTGTAATAATATTATATTTTCATATAAAATAAATCATAAAATGAATTTTTGTTTAACTTACTTAAGAAAGCATTATTTATATAAATTGTTGACGTGTTTCAGTGTAATGTAGATGATATCAAATATTTATATATATATATATATATATATATATATATATATATATATTATTACAGTAATGTTAATATCTCAAGTGATATGACTAGACAACTATTATATATTTGATATCATAATAGCATTACTACTTATGCTGACCTACTAAAAAAGTTTCTGAACGAACGAAAGTCACTATTTTCATAAAGAATTTATTAATTTTTAGACTACGACGATCGTTCGACTTCCTACATTATAATAAACGTGAAACTCAGCACAAATGAATGAAGAACACGATTGGAATAGTTAGAAATATTCTTCATTTATTAAATTTATTAACAAAATATTATATAAAATAATGTTAAAAATTTTGTATTAAATCAAATAAAAAAGAAATTATCAATATTAAAAATTACTCTACTTCGTATATTTTTTGATAAAAAAAAAAGAAAATAATTGGATTCTTACGTGTTCCCGTTAACTCACGATCAGCAACAAAAATTATCTTCGTACTCGAAAATGAGGATGAAGAAAATATTTCGTAATACGATCTTTCTCTCTCTCTCTCTCTCTCTCTTTCTTTCTTCCTTATTTGGAACGAAACACCATGGTCTCAACTATATTCGAATAACGGTGTATTCTGGTCCCCTTCTATATAAAATCGAGAACGTTTCGTTCATGACAAAAGTGAAGTAAAAGGAAGAGAATCGTGTCGATTACACCGGAAATTGAAGATGACGTACGACGATTCATCTTCTTGGTATTAGCGAACGGATGATTGGACTCTGATAACATTTAAATGATAAGAAACGTTCACGAAATATTAAGTATGTATCTTATCAATTAATCGAATGTTCTATATGTATATGTGTATGAGTGTATGTAAATGAAAAGAAGTTGTTGTACGAGACTTACTACCTGTTACATCAGTTTGATCATTAAAATTCTTCTCTTTGACTTTAAAATGATCTTATCGAATCGACGAAAGGATTTCTCGATACTTCCGGTTTATTCATATCGACCCGTTAATCGAATTTTCAAATGATATTTTTATTCTGATTGATATATATCTGTGTGATGGATTATATTATTAATTATTCTTATCAATACTTGAAATTTTTTTTCAGATTATATACATATATTACATTAATAATTTATAGTTGTGCGGCCAGTATGTTTTTTCTTTTTTCATTTAATTTTGAATACTATCTCAATTCTTGTTATACGCGATAACTCTTTGAACAAAATTTTCAATAACAAATTCAAATTGCATTTCTTCTTGTTCCCGTGTCCTATATATAACATTAATTTTCTACACGCACTTAGGAAAATAGCTAAAGGTTCTCCTATTTCACAAAATTCTATTCGAGATCTAATAACGTTAGAGAAAGTTCGCGCGGTTAATTTTAAAATGTTAGATTAATCGGTCCTTTTACTACCAAAGATTCGCTGAACCATTCTTAACGTAATAACATTTTATTGAGTAATGTTGGAGCAAAAAATATCTCAAGGTTCTTTATTATTAATTATTAAAAAAAAGAAGAAGAGAAGAAAATGAGAAGGAGTCGAGTATAAAAGGAAAACATTAAGTACGTGGAAAATATATGTGTGATATTAAAACAAGAATTATGATGATGATAACGATTATTATTCATGACCTTAAACTGGAAAAGGTAATGCTATCTATCTCTTTTGTTTCTTAGGAATAAACCTTTCTATTTTTTTATATATATACTTCACTTTGCCCTTTCTTTTGATTAATTTATTTACTAAGTAATTCAATATAATATCTTTCACACACAACACACACACTACACACATACACACACACACACAAATTCTTTATAAAAATTGGTGATTTTTTATTTTTAAATTTATACAGGGCGAGTCAAATGTTCTTCGGTGTTTTTTTGTTTTTCAAATCACTTATGAATTTTTGGTCCCTATATGTTTTTGTTCATTATCAACTCTTTTCATTTTTCCTCTTTTTATTTTGTTCATCGAAATTACGAGGTTTAAAAAGGGAAAAAGAAAAAAAAGGAACATTGTCAGCTGTAAAATGATGGTACACTAAGTATTGACAAGAAAGCGATAAGAATGCGAGCCACGTCTTGAACCTTTTGTCGTCGAATAAGTCACGACCTCGTCACGAGAAAGAGATGTTCGGTTTAACGATGGATTAATGAACGAATCGAACCGTCTTACTATTCTTTTTTTTTCAATTTCTTTCTTTCTATTTTTCTTTTTACATTTAATGAGAATATTGTTATACAAATTTCTAAAAATAAAAATTCGAATTCACACGTATTATTACGCACGTACTTTAAACACACGCATACTTATATTTTTATTATTATATAATATAAGTATATAATATAAGTTACACGAGTAAGAAACGAGTTCAAAAAAATATACCAGGAAATATAAAATCGAGATAAAGAAGAAGAAGAAAAAAAAAAGAAAAAGGGGGGAAGAACGAGTTCGATCTGATTTTTAGGTTAGGTAAGCGCACGTGCGTTGTTGCTCCGACAAGAGAACTTACTCATGCGTTCATTTATCGTTACGCATTTTATGCATGCATACTGCATATTCATACAATTATAAGTATATGTATATGCGGTAGCGTATGGAGACGGGTATAAAAATAATAAGAAAAGAAAATTTCTACTTCTCGAGAATATGTGGCGTGTCGTGGACGAGGGATCGGCCAGGTGTTTCGTGTTTGAGAGACGCTAAAGGTTGATAAGGAAGAATGGATGATAGGTTGCAGGTGAGCACGGGTAAAAAATAAACTGCAAAAGTGGTGTTGGTATATCCGGAATCTATAAAATGCAGCGTCGAGAAGAAAAAAAGAAGAATATCGACGCACTTGCATTTGTCTCTTAATCATTGTTACAAGCTGGTAATTTAAAAATTAAATCAAATAAAAATAAAGATATATCGAATATAAGTTTACCTGTTACCGAAGCGTTCCCTCCAAAATTCCGCGGCGTCCGATTTGGTTATGCGAAATTGATCGCCGGCGAACACCCCGTTCGGGAAGATGGCCTTGAGTTCGGACAACATGTGACTGAAGACCAAGCTCAATTTCGTAAGATTTCTTCTATAATGCGACGACTCGTCGAACATCTTTTCTTTACCCTCTTTGAATAATTTGATCGCTTGTTTGCACTTGCGCATGAGATTGTTAATGAAGACGCAAAAGTGTTCGTTGCTGTGTAATATCTGCATCCTGTCATCGTACTTGCTATAAATCAACTTCAAACGTTGATAGGTGTCCGGCAATATGTCCAAGATAAAAGGGGGCGAATTTTTTAAATTCATACGTTGATGTTGACAAAGTTTAACAACCTTGTCCATGAGTTTCCAGGTCTTGTCCAACATACGCTTATCTGTGGATAGTTTAGGCGGCGTCATAGCGTCCGTGAAACGACCCTGCAACTTTTGAAATATTGAGCCGATGTAAACTGCACGACCGCGGCTGCTATTCCCTGACGACGACATCTTGACGTTGCCTTTTGCGATCTCTCTCTCTCTCTCTTTCACTCTTTCACTCTATCTATTCGTGTCTCTTTCTTTCACTCGTTCGGTACGAGTTATGAACCAACCCCGCCACCCTCCCCCTAACGCGGAGGAGGGGAAGCGACTCGAATTCGCGCTCTCGTTCACGGCACCCCTAAACTTTTGGATATTCACTTGTTTCTCCACTTCTTATGTGTTTGCGCTTTTACCTTTCAATTAAATGTACCTTGACTTTTTTGTTCTTTTTTTTATTTCGATTTGTCTAACCCTCTTTATTTTTTCTTTTTACTGTTTTCTTGATGTACGATACAATTGTCTCTCCGGTCTCTGTCAGTCGAAAAACATTCGCTCGGCGCAAACTTTACTTCGGTTTTCTTCCTGTTATTTCTCTCACTCGCTCTCTCTCTCTCTCACTAACTCTCTCCTTTCTGTCTTTTTCTCTCTTTTCTTCGTATTTTCTTCTATTTTCTTTTTTTGATTTAGAACGTGTCAACGTTCCAACGTATCACGCAACACATGATACATCCTTTTTTTTTATATATTTAACTTCTTGAGAACCTGTACTCTTTCTCCTCTCTCTCTCTCTCTCTCTCTCTTTGATTCTTTTTTCTCTCTCGCTTTTCTCTTTTTTTTTTAACGATAGGACGCGAAGACGAATAGTTTGCTACTACTGGTAGCTTCTTCCCTCTTCGCCAAAGTTCCCATTTCCCACGAAATTAAACATTTTAATATCGCACTATACCGCATTATTATATTTTCTTGACGAATATTATGGAAACGATAAAATAACGTTCACGATAAATGACGGACAAACGCGATATTAACGATAAGTAGCGCGATGAATATCGACACTGACACGGCATGATGCGTACACCTCTATGCGTCTATACGTGCGTGCTGCTGCTGCTGCTGCCGTCGCCGCTACTTGTGCTGCTGCCTTCCGACTCGTCAAACTAATTCGATCGAATGCCGCATGTATGCGCGCGCATCTGGCGCCACTATTCACTCCTACGCGGCTCTTTAAAATATCATTCATTTCTTGCAACTTTTTATAAAACTTTTATTTTATTTATTCTATGTGCTTGTTATATTATCGGGTTAGGCAATAAGTAATATCGTTTATATTTATATTAATAAATGTTATTTATCTCGAAAGTGTGTTGAAATAATTTATATTAAAATAATAATTAATCACATCTTGAGATATATTACTTATTGGTCCTTTTTAATATTTTGCTTTTTAATTTATTATAACTTTTTAAACAAATCTATTTTAAGATAATACGTGGGAAGGATAAAAATGTAGATTTGCGTTGCTAATTATGTAAATCGAGAGAATTATATATTCCTAGATTTTTGCTATACATATTTTATTATATTTCGTTCGATTTCTGCAAACAAGACATTTTATTTCGATCATTTGATAATCGTAAAATCATCATATACGTAGAAAATAATCGGTTTTGAAATACATTCAACACATTATGAACTCTACTACAAATGTAAATGAATTTATCGGACATTGTAACTAATAGTAAATCTTGTTAAAAATAACGCTAAATGATGGTTTGTTTGCTTGGTCGAAATGTTAATCACAAACGAATGATCGGCAGATAAATTTGCATTGAATTTTTTTCACTTTTTTTTTTTTTATATTGGCAAGAGTACGATATGATGCACGTTTAACTATTAAATCATATATGTAACATAATAATTGCTCGTATGTATACGATTGACCGTGGAATCAAAGCTTTTGGAATTTTTCGAAAATTTTCTTACTTTTTCATTATTTTTTGTAAATTTTTTCTATTTTTATTTCACTTAAAACGTCGAAGGATCTACGCTTTTATCGAAGCGATTACTTCATCATGCTCGTTTTCTATTTTTCCCCTTATTTTTTTTCTCTGGATTTCCATTTCTGTACTAATCGTATCTCCACGTTTATTAACAGCTTTTGTTTAACAAATATACGGCTGTAATGACAGAAAAATAAGTCTTTTCTAATTTTTCGTAACTTCGTTATCCCCTTACCAATATGACTGCTTTTCTATAATTGATAACCGAACTCTCTCGGTCATCTTCCCTAAATGTCGTTCAAAATTATGATTAGGCTATCTGCCATCTATCTCGTGAATCACTTCAGTGACGTATTGGTTGTGTCACCGATTTTCTAAATATTGGCTAAACCTTAGTAGGATGAAGCTCGACATTAAGAACCAGCTGGCAGGTATTGAGGCTAACACGCAATATCTTTCATCTGGAACAATAAATTAATATTATGCGTTAATAATTTACGTGTAAGCGCAAAATATATATTTGACTTCTATAAAACTCACGAAGTGTAGATTTTAAAACTTTTTTTAAAATTTTAATCAATGCATTTATATTTGAAAACGCGTATAATTAGAAAAAAAATTTTTCATTAACAATTAAAAAAAAATAAAATAATCTTTTAAAACATATTAAAAGACTTGTTCACATCACAGTTTCCAAATATTTCCAATTTGTAAAAAAGCAAACAACACAAGACGAACAAATGCTACTTGCAAAATATCAGGATCGAAAGGAGGAAAGAGAAGGATCAAAATATTCATTTATTTAACAGAAACATAAAGACAGATAGTGTCCTTAAAAATGATCTACCAAAATATAATCTACCAACAGAATCATAAGTATTTATATTTAACTATGATTACGCGTCATTATATTTACGAATGCACGCATGGAATCTCTATGATGATACAAGCAAATAAAAAAGAAACAAAAATAGATAACAATGTAAAGTGGACATTAACAGAAATAATTAAACAATGCAGCTTCGAATACTTTTGGAGCCTCGAGCCTGATTTTCTCTATACTTTTAATATTACCTGTCATTTGGTCAGACTTCTTAACCGCTGCCCAACCCAAACTTCTTTCTACTGCCATTTTCCATTTTTTATATCTAGCATCTCTCTCTAAAAAAGAGAAAAAAAATGTAAAAATAATTTTGTTAATGTAAAAGGAGCGTTCTAATCGGAATAAAGATATGAATTTACCCTCAGGTGTTGTAGTGGGTAAAAATGTATCAGTCGCAACTCTTTCAATCTCTTCATTTTCAAATTCCCATGCATTTATACCTTCCGCGTTACCGGCAGCCATTGCTACACCCAATGCCGTCATATCCGGTATAGTGGATCTAACTGAAAAAAATTAATCATTATTATTACTATATAAAAAATGAATACAAGATAATTTTGATAAAACATTTTCATTCAAGAATTCAAGAATGAAAAACTTACAAACTGGTATACCGCAAAGGTCTGCTTGTAATTGCATGAGGAGATTATTTGTCGACATTTTACCATCAGTATTTAATCTTTTTAATGGAAAACCACAATCTTTATACATCGCTTCTAAAATATCTCTCGTTTGAAAGCATACTGCCTCCAGACATGCTCTTATTATGTGTTGCTTCGTAGTAAAGGCAGTGAGACCACAAAGTATTCTACAAAGCAAGTTTTTACTATTATTTAAAGTTCTTAATTTAAATTAAAATGCATCAAATAAAAATCAAAATACGCATGGCAACGATAAAATATGTCTTGGCAATATGAATCATACGAATTTATATGAAACTTTTAACATTTATATAATTTAAAATGTACATAACTAACCCTCTAGCATCTTTTCTCCAATAAGGAGCATAAAGTCCAGTGAAAGCAGGTACGAAATAAACATCGCCTGTACTAAATACTCTTTGTGCTAAATGTTCGCTTTCGTGAACATCTTTGATAAGTTTCAGATTGTCCCTTAACCATCTAATAGCAGCCCCAGCTACCGCAACCGAACCTTCTAATGCATAAACAGCAGGACTGTTTGGACCTAATTGATATGCAACAGTAGTGACTAAACCGTGAGAAGAATGAACTCTCTAAAAAAATATAACAATTTTTAAATACGTTTTCATAATAAGAAATAAAAATTGCAGCAACAAAATAATCAAATACAATACCATAATAATTGTTATTAATTACCGTAGTTCCTGTATTACAGAGTAAGAAACATCCACTTCTGTAAGTGTTCTTAGTTTGGCCTTTTTTCAAACAATTTTGTCCGACCAATGCCGACTGCTGATTACCAAGTATCTACAAATAAAAAAAAAACAAAAATGTGTATACGCGTATGTACACAAGAATCATTTGAAAATAAGAAATGAAGTAAGGAAATAAAAAAAAAACAAGAAAAAATTAAGTATATTGTAAGAATAACTTACGCCCGATATGGGAATACCCGCTAAAGGGCCGATTTTGATTTTACCATAAATTTCCGAGCTGCTTTTAATTTCGGGTAACATTTGCATTGAAATATCAAAGTATCTACACAACGTGGGATCCCACGAAAGTGTTTCGATGTTCATCAACATCGTTCTTGAAGCATTTGTTACGTCCGTTATGTACAGTCCGCCATCTTTGCCACCGGTTAAGTTCTGTCAAATAGGATAAATGTTTGAATTAATATTTCTTTTCTCTGTTATAAAAAATATTAATTTGAGATAAATTTGTATATTACATTAAAAAGAAAAAAAGAGAATGTTATAACGTACCCAAATAATCCAAGTGTCCATCGTACCAACTTTGCAGCGTCTATCTCGCATTGCTTTTCTAACAACCGGTACGTTATCCCTCAACCATCGGATTTTCAAAGCAGAAAAAAATGGACTGACCGGTAAACCGCAAAGTGGTTTCAGATGGTTTTTACTTTTGTCTGGGAACTTGGCAATGATTTGATCGACCGTCGAAGCGGTTCTAATATCAGTCCACACTTTAACAAAAAAAAAAAAAGAAGAAGATTTCATCGTTACGGTAGATTAAAGAAAAAAATTGATGATTTATGTAGAAAAAAAAAGAAATACAAACCTATAGCATTGTAGAACGGTTCACCGGTTATGCTATCCCACGCTATAGTTGTTTCTCTCTGATTTGTTACACCGATCGTGATAATGTCTTCCACCTTGAGATTGAGTGATTCAAACCTTTTTATGACATCTTTAATGCATGCCTTAACAGCAAAAAGTATTTCCTTCGGATCCTCTTCAAGCCAACCTTCCATTGGACTCAATTGCTCAATATCGATCTGATGAGAAGCTACTTCCGTTATATGCTTCGCATTGAAAACCTGAAGAAGAAAAAAAAAACAAAAAAAAAGAAACATGCAACAATCGGTTAAACAATCAATTGCATATTTTGCATTTTATTTTATCGTATTTGTACTCAAGTTTGCGATATTGTTGTAATTATTAAAATTATTTTATTATTGTCTAAGAACATTTTGTTTAAATCCACGTTAAAGTATACGAGTAGGTGTTACTATACTCGAATAATTTTTGTAACTTTAGATGAGTTCCCTTTTTTGTTCCCCTTTAACCTTCGTACGACGTTATCGACACAACGGAAATGATAAGTCTGTGATCCAATCGTAATCTCATGTTGACGTCAAGATAAGAACGTATGATAACTTTTCTTCGAAATGTAATAAACTTATAAAGAAAATGATAGACAAGATTCTTACCACAAATCTTACTGTCCGTGTACCAACGTCTATCACACCGATCAGTGGACCCTGTTGTTTTTTTGTAGTACTCGGCATTGTTTCTAAAAACAAAAACAAAGAAGACAAAATTTATAATAGAAATAATCAATTTATTATAAATTTTGTATATATATATTTAGTACGATTATTTTCGTCATAATATACGAGTAGTAATTTAAAAAAAAAAGATAGATTTGATGTAATTGATTGAGTTAGTCATCGATGACTTACAAGTAATCTCTATCGACAAAATTGAGATTGAGAACAGATGGACAGGTATATATGTATATTTATCTATCTATCAATCACGATTGTTACTTAAAATATACGAAATTAGATTGATAAAAACGAAGACTAAACAAATATCTTCATTGATATAAAAAGATTAC